AGATGCTGCAATAACGTACTCATATATTACTTGTTCAAATAATGTAGGAGTTCAGGTGGCAGACATAAAACAAAATTTCATAAATGATATTGAGTTATCTCTCACTCTTTTCTCTTTAAGATAAGGTGCAAATAATAAATATTATTTAATAAATGATAAAAGGAAAGTTGTTACCTTAAATCGTTGCTGCACCTTTGTGAAGGAGAACGACGCCGCAAGTTGGATTGAGAAGGAGAACGACGCCGCAAGTTTGCTGGAGCTGGAAGAAGGAGAACGACGCCGCAAGTTTGCTGGATCTGAGAAGGGAGAGGCAGAGAGCTGCGAAAAAAAATTGGTGGGTTAGATTTGAGTGAAAGTGAATGTGAATTAGGGATAGATTTTTATTTATTTATTTAATATAATATAATATAATATATATATATATAATTTGAAAACCGGTTCATAAACCGGTTAACCGTTTTTAGTTTTTCCCGAACCGGTAACCGAACCGAAAATTCGGTTTTTTTAATTTTTCGAACCGTAACCGAACCGTTTTTTCGGTTAACCGGTTTTTCGGTTCGGTTACCGGTTCGGTTCGGTTTTTGCATTTTTTTGAACACCCCTACCGAATACTCATCCAGATATATCTTCTCGACAAATCCTTGCTGACTAGATTCAATCAATGGGTTGTCTCGATTTCTAAGATGAGGACTCGTGGCACGTTACAAGCCTGTCAGGCGATTAAAGCTCTGCGTGTCTTAAAATAAAAGTTGTATCCTTTATGTAAAATAGTCATGGACTAAATGGTAGTTTGCCAACTTAGTGTAATATCTTCTGTATGAATTGTAAAAGTCAAGTATTGTAGGCAAATAAATGAAAAAAAAAAAAAAAGTCAAAAAGTCTACTCATGTATCAAATGGCTCATTTATGAGTCTTGCATGCAATGTATACCTCTTCTCTATAAATAAAGACTTTTACCTTCTCATGGAGGAGGAGGAACTTTGTGAAAACTCTTGTATATTTCTCTTGCTTTATTCTCTTATCAAGAATCTCTCACTTCTCCCTTGTATATTTTCTTTGCACATCTTTACCATAGTTCTTCCATGTTTCTTTCATCCTTCTAAACTTTCCCTCAACCTCAAGGGTGTTGTAATATTCTGATAATGGTAAGGGTAGCAAAAGATCACATATATGTTTTTAATTTATTTTCTTTGACATATTTAACATATATGTTCTTAATTTATGTTCTTGATATTTTTAATATATATATTCTTCATTTATGTTTTTGGAGTGTTTAATTTTCACTAGCCCTTTTAGATGATGTTTGAAGCTGTGTGGGTGTAAGTGTATGTGGGATAAAAGGAGGGCCTTGACCATGATTTCGACCAATCATTTCGTTGATTGGTTTCACTTAGGTCGGCTATCATAGTTTCCCACATGCATACTCTACAATCTTCTGACAACATCTCTAAGGTCTAGTAACTCGTATGGTATCAGAGTCAAACCACTTATCGATTCCAATTTCTGTGTGTGCGGAGGATTACCTCCCCTCAGATATTGGCTTTTCTAAGTTACTTATTGGTTCCAATTTCTATGTGTGCGGAGGATTACCTTCCCTCAAATATTGGCTCCTTTAAGTTTGGGTTATGTCTTATGTTTTATGTTTTATTTTTATGTTTAATGTTTAGGTCTTGAGCTATTCTTACTATGTGAGGTGATATTACACATCTAAGAGGTTGTACTCACGCATATAGAATCCTCTTCAGCTTTATCTACGTTTACTGCTCCCATAAATACTAGCTTATCTAGATCTTCTTCTAAAGTCGATAGTTTGTATGAAATATCTTATATCCCAGAAAAACAAAAAACCCAAGATACTATCCCTCCAATTGTAAGTCCATATATAGCCTTTTCCAAGTCTTTTTCTTCTTTGTCTAAAACCTTTAAAACTCTTGTTAGACCTTCCAGAAAGCCAATTAAAGAGTATGTCCAGACTAGTACTTTTAATAAGTGTCAAATTCCAACCACAACTCAAGAACAATATGTTACTTTGGAAATCCCTCAAGAATTCATTGCCCAATGGATCCGTGAATGATACTTTCATGTCCACTTTGGTGCTATCAGATTAGCTCTATCTTATTATGACAGAAAAGGACTCCCAGTCTCTATTCGAATCGCTTTGTTGGACACCAGATTTGTCCAATATCAACATGCTTGTATAGGAACGGCACAAACAACTTTGAATGTTGGGAAAGTCATTATGACACTGTTTCCTAATTTAATATGTCTCTTTCTGATGTTCATTGCTCCAAAGTTCTTAAAGTTCAATTACAGATAGTTGGTGCAGATTTAAATCCAGGGAGTATTGCAGCTACTTTGCATTATCAGATGGTTTGGTGGATCCAAGACCATGCTCTTGATCTCGCTATTCTTACGACTACTGATGCGCTGCTTCTTACTGTTGACTCTCAGAATACTCCTCATTGCATCCATATTCCGAGGCAGATTTCCAGAGATGATTTGATTAAATTGTTATCAGACTCTTGGGTGATGAGTTATGAGTATCTTAATAAAAAAAGAAACTTCAGTGGTTTCTACAGAATCTACCATGCATGATAACTGTGACGGAACAACAACTATCATATTTAAGTCTCTGGCAAATCCAGTGCTCCACCTTTGAGTTTTCAACAAACTCAATTCATGATCACTCCAGTCTTACCAGCTACAGTAGTACCAGAACCTGGACTTTCCATTCATTCATTTCAACAATCTAGTGCTCCTGTCTATCATCGATTTGATCCAGTCACTGGTCACACTCCATTTGATCTTGACTGTCAATGCTCAGACTGTCGTGATGATCCTATTTGGGAATTAGACGATCATTATCTTTCCAGATGAAACCATTTCAGACAAAAAAATAGACAACTCGGTATAGTAAAAAAGATCTTCACTCTAGATTTGAAGACCATGATCCTGAAGTTGGCCTTCTTGGTCAACCATCTGGTAAATTTGACTATTACGTCAAATATTCTCCAACAGCCTGGAAAGAATCACCATCCATTAATCCTTCATGGGAAATCCCTCCGAAACCTAAACCCAAATCACCTTTAAAACTATCCAAACCTGTTAAATCACCTTACTTTAAACAACCTTTACCATGTTATCAGTAGGCTCATTGGTGGATTGCAAAAGAAAACAAACCAACCCATTCACCCTTTGTTCATACTCCACATGTTCAGTCTATTATGATGATTCAATCTTCTAAACCCCAACAGACAGGACAAAATTTCAATTATGACACAAACTTTCCTTCTCTTAAGGAAACTATGATTCAACAACCAAAAATGGTTCCTTCCAAAGTCATACAGCCTAATGGATCCACTCCAAAACTCTCCCAAGCTAAAGCAGTTCTTAATTGGCAAACTGAAAATGCTTTAGCCCAAAACAAAACCATTACTAGAATTGAACAAAAATTAGATCTGGTAGCTCATCAGGTTGACTCTCAGTCTTAGAACCACATTATGCTGATTTCTCGGTTACAAAAAAAGATTAATCATCTTCAAAACCAGATTGATCAGCTCCATCAGGAATTAATGCACATTGTCAGCACCTCTCATGGCTATTCAGCTCAATTTCTCCAAAAGGAAGCAGAAATGAAGTCGCTAAAAACCCAAATGGCATCGCTTCAGCAGAAATATCTTAAGCAAAAACTCGGACAACCACAGACTTTTCCTGAAATGTCTTAGGTGCCAAATCCTTTTTATTCTTCAACAGCATGACCACAACCCTCTTTTTCACCTTTCCCAAAGATTAGTCAACCTTTGGTCTCACCTCATATACCTTCTGATGTTGTTTAGGCTTTTGGCAACACTGAACAGTTACATGCCAAGGTCCGCAAAGAACGTGATGAAAAGATTAAGCTGGAACGGGAACAAAAAAAGAGAGAAAAAATATTCTGCTAAAACGCAAATAATGATGATGGAAGACCGCCAAACTTCTACTAATCTTGTCTCTTCAGAAAATCATGTCTCTTCCAATTTTATGAGCTTTTTTTTTAGAGACATGGCAGAAAGACAACATCTTGCAGCTTCGGGTATTTCTCAGGATTATCTATCTACTTTCCAAACATAATCAAAAGCTGACATGTCTTCGATTGATGAATCATTTGAAAGTGGCTTCGACTTTGAAGGTGATACTTTTGATCAACATCCTAATGTTTGTCCCCAGCTGATGACCCATCAACCCAAATCTTCAAGACCACCTGTTGTCTCTGAGGTTGATGATGAGATGCCTGAAAGTGATGATTCTATTCCAGACTCTCCGCCTATGTATCGACAATCCCATCATAGTATAGCTGAGTGTGACTCTTATATAGCTTGAGCAAAGCTCCACACTTTTACTGTTAATGATCTTCCTCTACACAAATGGAGAATTCGAATGTATGAATTTCAAGTAAACCCTCTATTTAATATTAAATTAATAATAAAAATAGATATTAAAATAAAATTTTATAAAAAAAAGAAATTGTCCAAACCCATAGGACCGGTCTAGGCCTGAGAAATCTTATTGTCCCAGGACCAGTCCCTGATTATTTGAGCCCGGGCCTTTCCTACCTCTAGGCGTCACAGTGGATAGATTGCTCGCGTTGCGTTATTGGTCCAGGTAATTATCCCATGGATTGAAACACATTTTTATCGTCTGTGTCGTTGAAAGTCTGAAGTTCGGCAATGAATCAAATTATCGCTCCCGTAAGATTTAAAAAACTATAGCTCCGAGCCCACTTCTTGCACTTTCTAGGAAAAAAAGACTACAGAAAAGCACTATTCTTGTTTTAATTCATTCATTAATAAATTCCTCTCCCTGTTTGAAGCAATAATAAAGAAATCAAGGTTTGACAATTACAGAATAAAATAATTACAAATAAATATTCAAAAGAAGATCTTCTACGTTGACCTTAACACTGTTTCTAGAATACAATTAAAGGTTTTAATTAAGATCCTTGAAGGACAATATGCGTTTGGATAATTTTTGAAATAGCGATCTATGCATCCCACGCATTTGTAAATTTTGAATGAGTCAAATCCAGTGATCTGAATAACAAAATTCTGAATTACTTCTTTAATGGATTGGCATTTTGGTATAAGGTGGCTTGATCAATCCTTTATATCAAGTTCAGAATTTGAAAAGTAAAACTCAATTCACAGAACAGACCATGCCCAGCTGGCTATAAAACAACGAAGTACCAACCCAAAAGGTCAACTTATGATGTTCATACAACAAGATCAAGCATTCATAAGTGTTATCAAATTTCGATGCTCCATTATCAGTTCAATTACCCGACCGATGCTATCGAGGATCTAAATCAGTTATTGTCACCTCATTGACAGATTGTTGAGATGAGTCAGGATTTGATCTCTTTGATTGAGATGGTCTACAATCCTCCATCCCCATATCTGATTCAGAACTTCCCCTAGAAATAAAAAATGCTGGTCTGGAGGGTACTGGTGAGGTTATAGTGTAACTACTAAACATCGTCACAATCTCAGTCTTAGTAGGTCTATCAGCAGCAGCTTCTTGAACACATAATAATCCAATGTGGATGCATTTTAATACTTCACATCTTGGCCATTGATCACCCAGCACCGGATCCAACAGCTCAGTAGCAGTTCCATTGGTCCATTGTTGCCATGCCTATAACAAGTATCAACCGTGCCAATTAAATCAGTAAGGGTAGGCCAATCGTATAATTAATTTACCATTAACAGAAAAACCTGACAGTATATATACTTACATAACTTGGAAGATTTAATGTATTCTGGAAACTTGAATTCTTTTGACCAGCTACGAATTTCCAAAATTAGAATGCCATAACTATAGACATCGGATTTGGTTGAAAAGTGTCCATGCTTAGCATACTCCGGTGCCATGTACCCGCTTCAAGCCATCAACAAATAGATAATTGCTTTGTGTTAGTTGCAGATTGACTGCTTCAAATTATAATAATGTTCAAGAATTGTGAGTAAAATGTGAACTTACTATGTCCCAGCAATCCGATTTGTGTTGCCTTGTGTCTGGCTTTCACCAAATAGTTTTGCCAAACCAAAATCTAAAATTTTGGGATTCATGTGTTCATCTATTATCTTCATGAGTGCAGACGAAATTTGTTTATCCAAATGCCAGATATCAATCAGCTCTGTATCTCCTTATGATGAATTTTGTGGGTTACCTCATCGTTTAGAACCAAGTTAGAGAAGAATATTTTAAGATGCGATGCTGTTCTCTCAAAAAGAAAGACTTGACATGCATTACAAAGAGATGGTAAAAAGATATCATATACTTAGGGTATGGATGATCCTAACATGAAGCAAGCCTTTTTAGCATCTATTCCAGAATCCCTAAGTCATAAGCAACCAAGCTTATGCAGTCCCAGAGAAAACAATTTTTCCACTTCTCTTGGAGAAATTATCAATTTGTCATTCTCACTCTGGAAAAGCTCTGTTATCAAAAACAATTTTTAACGATTATTGAAGCACTCTAAGTAGTTGACAAAGGTTTGTCAGAGACCAGACTTGTAGATCAAGTGCAAATCAGATCGCTCATGTTCTTGTCCTACCAAAGAATTTCATTCTAGACGCTCAAGTTTTCCCCACCTAATGGTCCTGCCAGGCAAATTTCGACGTTTCAAGCACTGTAAGTTTCTTCGAAAAAAGAACGAAGAGGCAAACGATCTAATCAGTGTTATTTGTGCGACCGTCTTGGTCATTTTTCCAAAAATTATCCAACAAGCCCAAACAGTCAGTCAAAATGATGCAACACTTTATAAGCTCACTGATATAGATTTTTCTGATGATGATGTTAAGTTGGTTTTCAAGGATGAAGAACCCATTTCAGACATTATTTTCCATTTGTGGCCTCTGATACTGAGTTCTCTGATTTAGATGATTGTCTATTTCTACCATATCCAACAAATCCCACAATCCCTTCCATCATTAGCCTTCTCATGTCACATACTTACAGCAAAAGTTCAGATCTTCCCCACTAAATATTCCAATCTCATTTAAATCATAGCATTTTTTTATACTGGTGCTACTCGTACTATACAACCCTAAGATCCTCCCATCCTCTTTGTGGAAACCTCATCAGGAAGTTTTCTACACTGCTAATATGACACTTTCACTACTCATCTGATCAGCAAACCTATTAAAATCCAATTTTTCCAGGATGTTTTACTTTTCATAAAGTTCTTGGTTCCGATTTACTGACAAAGATATGATTCTAAGTTTTGATGTTTATTCTAAACTCAATAAATTTAGAATCCTCCCTAATGGTGTTCGGTACAAGATGTTTTTCCAATTCTGGACCACTAGGCCTAATTTATTCCAGATTGAAGGCAATCATATTGAGCATATCAAACCCAACTTATTTCCCACTCTTGTGCAAATTCTCATGCAGATTTTCTCACTAAATGTGCTCACCTATGGAAAAATTTTGATTTCTTTATCCATCTTCCATTCATCAAGAGCGAAGATATCAATCCCACTAAGCTAGTCATTCAGGCATGTCACCAGAACATCTCAGCCTAGCCCAACAAGAATGTACTCAGCTTTTATCTCAGGGATTGATCGAACCCACAAATTCTCAATGGGCATGTGAGCATTTTATGTCAATAAACGTGCTGAACAAACTAGAGGAAAACTCAGACTTTTTATCAATTATCAGCCATTGATTTCTTTCTCCGTGATGATAAATTTCCTCTGCCTTCCAGACAAGTTCTCTTTGCAAATCTCCATAATGCAAAGATGTTTTCCAAATTTGATCTCAAAGCTGGATTCTGGCAACTTGGAATTCATCCTGATGACATCATAAGACTGCTTTCTATATTCCCAATCAACACTACTAGTGGACGATCATGCCTTTTGGACTTAAGTCCTCCTTCCCTGTTTCAGAAAGCCTGATGAAAGATTTTTACTCCCCTTCTTCTACATGTCTCTTTTATATCGATGATATCCTTCTCTTTTCAAAAGATGAGGAATCTCATTATGTCTTCTTCGTGACTTTGTTGATATCATATACTCTTACTATTATGCTCTTTGAGAAGAAAATGCAGTTAGGGCAGACAAAAATTGATTTTCTTGGTATGATGATTGCTGACGGCATGTATGATCTTCACCTTATATTGCTAATGAGTTCGAAAATTCTCAGATGTTCTCACAACCAAGAAAGAATAACAACAATTCTTGGGAATTGCCAATTACATGCGCAGTTTTATTCCCAACATTTCTTGTCTCACTACTCCCTTTCCTATATGCTTAAGAAGAATCCTCATTCGTGGTCTGAAAAGCAAACAAATGCAGTCAAGGTCTTGATGCAAATCCTTCCATACACACCCGTTAAGATTCCTTCTTCTAGAGACGAATCTTCAGACGGATGCTATGACACTCATTGGGGTGCAATGCTTTTTGAACAAGATGATGACAAAGTATGACATTTGTGTGGATACCAGAGTGGACAATTCAAACTTCACCAGCAGCATTTCATTCTACTTTCAAGGAAGTGTTAGCAGTAAAAAATGTCATTGAAAGGTTTGAATTCCTCTTGTTGGATATCCTTCTTTGTTGAAACGGAATGAAGTCTTTTGATCAAATGCTTTGATTCAACAAGAAAAGGTTTCGCATCAACAATTACTTCGATGGGCAGAATGGTTAACAAATATTCTTCACCATCCAGCACATCAAAGGTCACACCACCACCATTGAGATTTTATCCGACCTAAAACTTAACAAGTCGGTTTCATGACCCTAGATCCAAACCTCTTCCCTTTTTCATGTTCCAACCATTAACCCTCCAGTTCCTGTTCATCATCTTCTCACCCAAACCATCCTCCAGACGTACCTCCTAATTCGATGACCTTGTTCGAACTCGTACCATTAATGAAAATGCTACTACCCTTATGTTTTCTTATCAGATTCAATGCATTGAAAATGTGGCACTCCTATGTATGATATGTTAGGTTTCCATCCAGATTACCCCTTTTCAAAAATCTTTTATGTACCTCCAGGTCTTGATATCATATTTCCAGAAGAATTATTATGGTTTTTTTGGTATATGTTACACCAGTACCACATGCCATTCATTCTCAGTCCATCTATGTTGAAAATGATTTCCCAATATCAGTCATTCTCACCTCTGAATTACACTCTTTGATGACTTTTCTCAAATGGTTTAAAACCCTAGAAAAATGGAAATCCATGTTTGCTCATCAGCGAGTCCGATACAAAGGTCCTATGTCTACCAAATGGCATGGTCTATCATGTTTTCCATAGACATCACTCCATCAGATCCGATGGCCTATATTTTTCACACATCAAGTCACATTTCATTGGTCTTATCCATTGATCTCGTCCATAATATGTTTGACCTCCTGTTGAGACTAGATCAATTCAAAAAATCATTTTTGGAAAAAATCAGATAATTCCAGACGAAATATGGCCATCCTTTCGCGATGATGCTCCGTGAGAACTCTTTCCTCCAGACTACACTGAGAAATTACTCTAAGCTAACAAACATGCATACGTTCCATCACTACTCAATTCAATGCCACTTCAGATTATCCAATGGTGGTACTCAGACTCACAGTGAAATACTATGCAAGAAAAAGAGCTTCAACAGCTCATAATTACTATCTTCATAAATCAAGGCGACAACAGTACATGCATGCACCAAGTACTCTGCAAAGCAGTTTCCAGAGATTTCTCCGAATACTCATCCAGATACATCTTCTCGACAAATCCCACTGACTGGATTCAATCAATGGGTTGTCTCGATTTCTAGGATGAGGACTCGTGGCACATTACAAGCCTGTTGGAGATAAAGCTCTGCATGTCTTAAAATAAAAGTTTGGTCCTTTATGAAGATAGTCATGGACTAAATGGCAGTTTGCCAACTTAGTGTATATCTTCCATATGAATTATAAAAGTCAAGTATTGTAGGCAAAAATGGAAAAAAAAAAAAAAAAAAAAAAAAAAGGTCTACTCATGTATCAAATAGCTCTTTATGAGTCTTGCATGCAATGTATATCTCTTCTCTATAAATAAAGACTTTTACCTTCTCATGGAGGAGGAGGAACTTTGTGAAAACTCTTGATATTTCTCTTGCTTTATTCTCTTATCAAGAATCTCTCACTTCTCCCTTGTATATTTTCTTTGCACATCTTTACCATAGTTCTTCCATGTTTCTTTCATCCTTCTAAACTTTCCCTCAACTCAGGGTGTGTAATATTCTGATAATGTTAAGGGTAGCAAAAGATCCCATATATGTTCTTAATTTATGTTCTTTGACATGTTTAACATATAGTGTCTCAATTTATGTTTCTGATATTTTAATATATTTTTTCTTCATTTATATTTTTGTGTGTTTAATTTTCACTACCCTTTTAGATGATGTTAGAAGTTGTGTGGGTGTAAGTGTGTGTGGGATTAAAGGAGGGCCTTGACCATGATTTCGATCGATCATTGCGTTGATTGGTTTCACTAGGTCGCTATCATAGTTTCCCACATGCATATTCACGATCTTCTGACATCATCTCTAAGGTCTAGTAACCCGTATGGTACCAGAGCCAAACCACTTATCGATTCCAATTTCTGTGTGCGCGGAGGATTATCTCCCCTCGGATATTGGCTTCTCTAAGTTACTTTTGGTTCCAATTTCTGTGTGTGGGGAGGATTACCTCCCCTCGAATATTGGCTCCTTTAAGTTTGGGTTATGTCTTATGTCTTATGTTTTATTTTTATGTTTAATGTTTGGGTCTTGAGCTATTCTTACCATTTGAGGTGATATACACATCTAAGGGTTGAACTCACGCATATGGAACCTCTTCGCTTTATCTATTTTTATTGCTCCCATAAATACTAGCTTATCTAGATCTTCTTCTAAAGTCGATAGTTTGTATAATATCTATATACCCAGAAATAAAAAACCCAAGATACTATCCCTCCAATTGTAAATCCATAAACAGCATTTTCCAAGTCTTTTCTTCTTTGCCTAAACCTTTAAAACTCTTGTTAGACCTTCCAGAAAGCCAGTAAAGAGTATGTCCAGACTATACTTTTGATAAGTGTCAAATTCCAGCCACAACTCAAGAACAATATATTACTTTGGAAATCCCCAAGAATTCATTGCCCAATGGATCCGTGAAAGATACTCTCATGTCCACTTTGGTGCTATCAGACTCTCTATCTTATCATGGTAGAAAGGACTCCCAGTCTCTGTTCGATCGCTTTGTTGGACACCAAATTTGTCCAATATCAACTGCTTGTATGGGAATGGCACAATAACTTTGAATGTTGGACAGTCTTATGACACTGTTTCCTAATTTCAATATGTCTCTTTCTGATGTTCATTGCTCCAAATCTCTTAAAGTCAATTACAAATAGTTGTGCAGATTTAAATCCAGGAGTATTGCAGCTACTTTGCATTATCAGTGGTTTGATGGATCCAAGACCATGCTTTTGATCTCGCTATTCCTACGACTACTGATGCCTGCTCCTTACTGTTGACTCTTAGAATTCTCCTCAATGCATCCATATTCCCAAGCAGATTTCCAAAGGATTTGATAAAATTGTTACCAGACTCTTGGGTGATGAGTTATGAGTCTCTTAATAAAAAGAAACTCCAGTGGTTTTCACAGAATCTACCATGCATGATAACCCTGACGAAACAACAACTATCAGACTCAAGTCTCCGCAACTCCCAGTGCTCCACCTTGAGTTTTCGACAAACTCAATTCATGATCACTCCAATCTTACAGCTACATAGTACGGGAATCTGGACTTTCCATTCATTCATTTCAACAATCTAGTGCTCTTGTCTATATCAATTGATCCAGTCACTGTCACATTCCATTTGATCTTGACTGTCAATGCTCAGACTGTCGTGATGATCCTATTTGGGAATTAGAGGAGCATTATCTTTCCAGATGAAACCATTTTAGACCAAAAAAATAGACAGCTCGGTGCAGTAAAAAAGATCTTCACTCCAGTTTGAAGACCATGATCCTAAAGTTAGCTTTCTTGGTCAACCATCTAGTAAATTTGACTATTATGTCAATATTCTCTACCAGCCTTGAAAGAATCACCATCCATTAATCCTCATGGGAAATCCCTCCGAAACCTAAACCCAAATCACCTTTAACTTCCAAACTTATTAAATCACCCTTACTTTAAACAGCTTTTACCATGTTATCAGCAGGCTCTTCGGTGGATTGCAAAAGAAAACAAACCAACCCATTCACCTTTTGTTCATACTCCACATGTTCAGTGTATTCTGATGATTCAATCTTCTAAACCCCAACAGACAGGACAAAATTTCAATTATGACACAGACTTTCCTTCTCTTAAGGAATCGGCGATCAACAACCAAAGTGGTTCCTTCCAAAGTCATACAGCCTGATGGATCCACTCCAAAACTCTCCCAAGCTAAAGCAGTTCTCAATTGGCAACTGAAAATGCTTTAGCCCAAAATAAAACCATTACTAGAATTGAACAAAAATTAAATCTGGTAGATCACAGGTTGACTCTCAGTCTCAGAACCACACTATGTTGATTTCTCGGTTCACAAAACAGATTAATCATCTTCAAAACCGGATTGATCAGCTCCATCAGGAATTAATGCACATTTGTTAGCACCTCTCATAGCTATTTAGCTCAATTTCTCCAGAAAAAAAACACACTATCGGCTGAATCTGGCCGGTAGTGCGCCGATCTAGCCTTTTCCGGCCAGATCCACGGCCAAAGATCTGGCCGTTGATGGCCAGATCTTTGGCCGTAACAGTCGGTCACGACGGCCAACAAACGGTCGTCGTCGTTGACCATCAACGACGACCATTTGTTGGCCGTCGTTGAGAGCAAATACGGTCAGATCTGGCCGTTGACGGCCAGATCTGGCCATAGATCTAGCCTTTGCCGGCCAGATCCACCGTGGATCTGGCCGGCAAAGGCCATAGCGGCGCATGACCAGCAAGATCCAGCCGGTCATGCGCCGATAAGACGACTCCGACCACCTCCGGTGGTGGTGGCCGGCTGGGGGTATTTGAGGGTGGGTTAGGGGTGTTTTTGTAAACTTTTAATGCTTTGTTATAGGGGGTATTTTGTAAAAACAAAACATAGGGGGCATTTTATAATTTATAAATCATACCTCGTAATACCCGTCCAATTCAACTTTTTTTAAACTTTTTTCAAAAAACTTTTCCCAAAACCCCCAAATTTTGAACCAAACGAAGCCAGTATTTTTAAAACAGTTGAGTTAGGTTGTTATTAAGAGAATATGATTTGAATTTGAAAATGTGTTAGGTAAATTTTTGAAAACCATTTTCTGCAAATATTGAAATTATTTTAATCTTTTACATTTGTTAATTTAGCTAAACACCCCCTACAATAAAAGTTTTAAAATTAACACAAACAACCACCGCGCCCCACCACCTTAGGACGA